AATGAAGACTAAATTTGAACTGGCAGAGACCTTGAGCAGAACCAGACTCAATAGACTGCAATCTGCCTAGAACGTGAGGAAAAAAGGAAGTTGGACAGGTTACCATATATAACATTTGCACAAGTGAGGGGGAACTTAACTGAATTCATGGTTCAAAAGGGGGTACCTTTGAAACACCTTTGCATGTCCTTTAAATTATACTTATTCAATCAAAACGCTGGTTCCTTTAATCAGAAATGTCTGTCATGTTAGAAAACAGTCACATCCTGTATCTGGACATGTAGAAATGCTCTTGGTTATCACTGGTTTTTAAGTTCCATTGAATGAAAAGGAAAACATGTTCATGTTGTTACCAGAAATGTGAGCAATGCCACGTGTGGATAGAATTACAATCTTAAGTTCATATCTAATACATCGTAAAGTTTTTCGAAAGAGCGTATGAGGCATCCTCAGCGTCACTCTTTGGAGGAAATGTCATGTACTGGTATGTTGTTTTCCTGAAAGTCATGTGCTTCGTAAATCTGTGAGGGGGCGGCAGCAGCAGCCAGCCTTTGTCAGTAAAAAGTGTGTGAAGTGTGGGCGTCTGTCCTCCTCAACACACACTCACACACATTCAGAGTGATAGTGGGGAACTTCAGCATTGTCATTCAGAAACATACAGAAGACACTGAGATTCTCACACATTGAATGGACCATCTTTGTGTGTTTCAGCTACCCACCCATGCATGGGTATTCACTGTAGAATGAAAACTTTTCATCTCTTATTTCTAACTCTTACATTTCATAACTACGACTTTTTTTTCCTCATCATTTTGACTTTATATAGAACATTTGACTTTTCTTCTCAAGAATATGACTTCTTATCTCAAAACGGCCTTATTTCTGAATCATCTCTCAATCTCTTACGTACTGAGTTTACAATACGATCATTTATTTCATAACTATAACCATTTATGTAAGAATTATAACATTTATCTTATAAAAATCAAATCTCATTATGACTATAATCATAGAGTTTCCATGATTGTCATGACATCTTATTAGGACTTTCTTATTTATAATAAATAGCTTTCATCTTGTGATTACATTGAATTAATGACTTGTATTCCTAACTCTAAATCTCAATATAAATTGTAATCTATTTTTTTTTCCTTTTCTTTCATAATTATGACTTTTTTTTATCTGATCATTAAAACTGATCATTGAGGTACTCTCAGTATTATGGGCTTCTATATCTCTGTCTGGTTCAGCTTGGGGAAATTTCCTGGTTCTGAGGCTCATCCAGACACAGTCAACAATCAACAAGAGAACCTTATGAGGTTATAAGTTGCTTCTGGTCTGACTCTAGCTGTGGTTCAACAAAAGACTTCCTGTGGAAACATTTTACTTCATTGTGTAAATTTGCTCTAAGCCCACACACACTGAGTGCATTAACTGGGGGCGGGGTCCCCTTGTGTTTCTGGGGGTGGGGGCGTAGCATTTTCTTTGCACTGTCAAGAGTTCTTGTGACCTTTCAGGCCTGTGGTCTCTCCTCTGCATGGTGTCAGCGCTGAAATCGTGTTAAAAATGTGATTACTGGAAGACTGCATGTCCTACTTACTGTAAAAAGAGTTCTTTGTTATGTCACTGAACGGTGGCTTTAGTTTCAGATGAATGTGTACTAACTTAACAAAACTGTACATATGCTTGCCCATATACTATACGTCTCTTCATATCTCATGGTGACATCAGTGAATAGATAACAAATGGCCACAGTGCTGATAACATTCAACCGCAGAAAATTTTCGTTTTTGCATCACAAAACTCTGCGCTACAGTACATGCTGCAAAGTCACCATTCTGCAGGACTTCTGCAAAGTGAAGTGACTATTCAATTTCCATGAAATTGACAATGCAAGATACTAGAAATAACACAACTCCTACTCATGATCTAAAACATCTATGTTGCGTAAAGCACAGATGTACTGTTACTTCTCATATTCAAAGGCAGGAACAGGATAAAGACCCACAGAGTTGGCAGGAAGCTACATGTGCAGATTAAGAACCCAAACGTGAGAAATAAAACCTTCTAACATGAAGTATAACATTCATCAACCCTCAAAAACCATAACCTGAATGACTGTAAGAGAGTTGAGAGTAACACATGGTTTGCCACATTGTGGCACTGTGAAGCAAAGTGTGAAGGAAAACTAAAGTTATGAAGGCTAAATAGGGAACTTGTTCTGCTTCAGTCTCCAAGAAGTACTTTAAATGTTCTACATCAAATAAGAATAAGTTTCTTAAATATGATTACATCAGAGGATTTATAGCACAACACTGACTGTCCATTGTTGTGAAGATACCACCACCAGCAGGTTAGCTTAGCTTAGCACAAAGACTGGAAACAACTAGCCTGGCTCTGAACAAAGGTGATACCTTTTCCCTCCAGCATGAAGAAAGCTCATTAACCAACAATCTAACTGTGTAATGATCTTGTTCAAAAAGGAGAATGGCAAACTGTGTTTTCACAAACAGTAGTGTGTTGAACTGTTTTTTTGGTTTGGAGCTGTTACGTTGACAACCAGCAAACTCATCTAAGGACACATAAATGGAAATTGCATTGGTCAGTATTTACATTTCTTGGATTCTGGTGATGTCAAAATAAAAAAATCGAATCCAATTTTCTGTAAATTACAATTAAAAGTCCACCTCTATTTTCATGTTTTAACTCGACAGGGGGATGCAAATGATTATTCTCTAAATATCGAAGGGGAATGCCGGGTCTCTATCAAGTCTACATTTTTGCATCAATCAACATATCAAGTTTGTCCTTTTAAAGAATTTGATACTTTTTCTCTTCCCAGCAACTAAGCCATGGATGTTAAAATGCCTTGTAAGGTATGTAGGATACTGAATAAAAGCTTGTTACAGAAAGCTCCCATGTGACGTCAGGCTCTGCTTAAAAACTCTGACGCTCATACGGGCTATTTTAAATGGCAAAAAAATGTCGGCCTGTGCAAGCAAGAGCCCAGACTAACGTGTTGGTTGGGGGACGAAACCAGAGGTCCTTCACCGCTCTCGTCTTATCATTTGGACTCCTTTAAACCAAATGGGGTGTAGGAGGTTGTCAAATGAGAGCTGGGGGGAAATTCCCCATCAACAGCTGTGAGACTGATCAATCATGGGGGGGATATTTCTTGGCACTTTACAGTCAAACCTGGACTTCGATGTGATGTTCACTGAATTACATTAATGGTCTAGTTTATGATTCAGGGTAGATATGCAAAAACAGCACAGATACTTTAATGTCAATTCATAACATGGCCAGTCTTTCTACAGAAGAGGAAATATTGTAGAGAAGAGATTTAAATTTGATTTGAACTGCAATCCAGCAGTTATAGTTTGGACCTGGTTCCCTGTCCTGGCTCTGGCTGCCCATCAGTCTACACTGTTGAATTGTGGGGGCCATGTGGTAGGGAAGGTGTGGAAGGTAGTATCTGCGTTGTAACTACCTGGCTATCTCACATAAACACCTGGGTCTGTTAAAGGTGGCAGCGCTGTTTTGGTTGCGGTGGCAACTAAGGGCCCTGTGGTAGGTTATGAAACTTATCAGTAGGGAATTGGGGCATACTTGGGATAAGGGGTCTCCTCACTGAGCAGTTATCCTTTAATTAGGGCAAAAGTATCTTGTGTCTATTCAAATTGCCCTGCTGTATGCAAGAGAAAGTCAAGAGGAACCCACGTTTGTTAGTTTCAGACAAGCATATAATTAACTTTAGCACATATGTAGATGACACCCAATTCTACATAGTTGATCATCTTGTGGACCCCTGAGCTCTGTTAACATAGTTTTTGTATAAATGGAATGTCATATTTTTACATGTTAGCATGACAGGAATGACTTTGGAGTCCTTGGCCAGGACTTGAGTTGGGAAGCTGGTGTTTTAATGGTGTTTAATCATCCCACCATTAAGAATCATTGGATTATGTAGCTTTGAGGAAGTCCTTTTGTATCTACAGCATGAGCAGGTTTCTTTCACAGAGGCCAAATCTTAATTTCCATGACTTTCATGTGACGTCCTGCAAATCTGAGGGCCAACTGATGTTCCACTGTCAAATAGTTTTGATTGTAAAGGCTCTGATGCAGACTTTTCAGACATTTGTGCACTTTCCGTGAGTCTGCATTCCTGCAGATTTTCATGTGGGACTTGTAGTTTGTAGCCAAATATACGTGTAGAATGTGGTGACCCAGTTTCCCCATTAATTGTTAACAAGGTAAGCATAGGCTATGAAAGACAAAACCTTTAAAGAAGTGAAGATTGAAGTTACAAAATGTTGTTAAATACTGCTGTTAATATACACTGAATGATTGCGGAGTCGTTGTGCATTTACATAGTTGGCTTTTCTGATTTTTAGTCGTTTGCTTAAATGTATACTATAACACTTTAATATAACTTCACAAATACACGAGAGGTGCTGCTTGTGATGTGATGTAATTATAGTGTGTCCCATTCCTTTTTTGTATACCAAGTAGTTGACTGCAATATGCAACCAAACCATTGCGACTGATCCCTTGAATCAATTACAGCTAAAATCTCTTACTAATGCTACTACTGCAACAATCCATCAAGTTTCTCAAACCTGCAAATACTGATGAAAATAATTGTGAAGGAAACCAAACTTTTAGTCAGAGTACCACTACAGAAATTCCATTAACAAAGGAAGATGGGGAGGGGAGGTTGATTGACAAATTGATCATGCACAAATGTCAGGAAATCCTCAGGAATCGTCCCATGGGGACCATGAAAGCATGAGGAAATGTAATCAAACAATTAGATGTTGTGATATGTTTTTGTTTTTATCAAATGGGTTGGAATGACTGACGGATAAATCGAATGTGTAAGGCTTATAACCGCAGAACGATAGTAGCAAGGGAATAATCAATTTACTGGAGTTGCCTCACAGACCAAATGGCATGACAAATTATTTTTTAAGTAAAATAAACATCTTCACTTCGTAGTGTTAAGTTAATTTCATGTTTTATTATTAATCCAGAGGAAATAGTAGAATGATAAAAACAAGATCTCAGTAACATTGTATTTCCCTTGTATGCATTCTGTTCTGCAAACCGTCCTCCACTTTTCACATCCCAGTGATGGCATTGAGCATCAACTTCATCATCATCATCCATTCTGTCAAACATTCAAATGTAACAGTGAAACACATGAAGCAGTCCTCTTTATAAAAGTACACAACAGACAGGTTGGTTGAAAATAAACATGACTAAGAGAGATATATTTACAAGACTCTTCTGCCTGATTTGAATAAAATGAAGTAACAGACCTTTTGAGACCTAAAAATAATGAGGTGCAAGGAATAACAACAGCAGCAGCATCTGCTTCAGTGTTGTTGAGCCAAAATGATACCATTTGTAAATAGTGTTCTTCACAAGTCTTTTACCATCCCTCCCATCTTTTACATAGGTTAGCCTTGGGATCATGTTAGTATACCTTTAACTAAAAAATAAATGTATGCACCATGTGTTCAGGCTATTTCTTTTTTTTTTACAGATATACAAGATTAATTCCCACATTAAGACACATAAAGGCCCCTGCTCTCCAACATGGAGGACTGTGAGATAAGCTTTATGACTGAAATGTTCCACAGCCGGAGTAAAGTGTTGTCTATACAAGAGGTGGCGGTCAAATATTTGGGAATTACAGTAGGTACATGAGAGCAATGTAATTAACAGAAAATTGATTCGATACAGCTCACAAACATTTATCCAAGGTAACAGTACCATTTAATTTGGCTGTACAAGCCACATATGGTGATTAAAGAAAGATAAGAACAGATTCTATGGTTAAACTATGAACGAGGTGATGAGGCGTTTTGCACAGTTTATGGTATGGGACTTGTGTAATAGACAATCTTACAGGCACTCAAAGCTTCTGTGACTGCTGACCTGACAAATCACATTGGACCCCTTAGGGGCATCTTTGTGTAAGAGTCAAAACCGCAGAATCCCTTTCTGTACCTTAGCCAACAAAATCAGAAACAATAGGAAAAGAACAGTTAAAAAAAACTGACACAAATAGACATAAATGCGCCACAGAAAACGTGGCCTCAGTTCCCAGTTTGGAGTGATCCCACAGTGCTACACCTTCTGCCCGAGCAACTGTGCAGGCCGCCTGCCTGACTTCATGCGGCTACGAGCATACACCCGCAAGAAAAGTGCCAAGAAAACTACAGCGACACCAAATCCACCGACTATGGAGACGGTGTGCCCGTAGAGGAAGCATGAGAGGAGGATGGCGATGGCCTGCCGTAGGGTCATGATGATGGTGAAGACTGCAGCTCCAAACTGGTTGATTGTGTAGAAGATGAAGAGTTGGCCGCATGCAGAGCAGACGGACAACAACACGGCATGAAAGGCAAACTCGGAGTGGCGCGTCATGAAGGCCAGCGAGTCAAAGAAGGCGCCCTGCTCCAGTAGCGAGCCGACTGTGAAGAGGCAGGAGAACAGGTTGACCCCGAACATCATCTGCACCGACGACATCTTGTACTTGAACAGGTTGTCCTGCCAGTTGGAGGTGAAGCTATCGAAGACAATGTAGCCGACGAGGATGATGATCCCGCTGAAGGTGGTGACAGTGGACGGGTGTTTGCTGGGCGTGCTGGACAGCAGGAACATGCTGACCCCCACAGAAATCAGCACGGCGGTTAAGTATTCCCAGTATTCGTAGCTCTTGTGGGAGACAATCTTTCCCATGAGCATGACAGGAATGACTTTGGAGGCCTTGGCCAGGACTTGAGTGGGGAAGCTGATGTACTTGAGCGCCTCGTACTGGCACCAGCTGCTCATGATGTTGGAGAGGGAGGCAAAAGAGTACTTGTACATGGGTGCTCCATGGCTAGGCTGCTTGAACATGAGGCACCACAGGCCCGACACAGTCAGAGCAAGGATACGATTCATAAAGACCAAGAACTGAGAGTCCTTGAATTTCTCACCCTGCTCCTCTGGAGTCTCGGCTCCATAGGAACGGGTCATTACACGCTCCTGCAGGACTCCCCATGTCAGGTAGGAACCTGGGAATGAGAGTAAAGACTTTAGCTTCGACTTTAAACTCTCTTTTGATCATCATTATGTCACTCTGTAGCCGGAGCATTAGGTAGGTTTGGCTTTGCTGCCCTGCTAATACATTACTAAACCGGCATTTGTATGATTATTTAAAAGTTGCTGTTATGATTCCTACTCTCTCTACTGGTAGAAATGATACCTGGAGAACATATCTCCAAAAAATACCAACAGACAAAGCTGCAAATGGTCAGCCAAAGCCTTAAATAGCCTTGGATGGACCCATAAAACTGTTCTTTGTTATGCTTTTATTTCTACTTTCTTAAGCCCATTGTCACTTACACATCGCAAGTTTTGGTGCTATAATGCTGTCCTATAATTTTGTACTAAAAATACCAAGACTGGACTTTGTCTACTGCTGAAGCCTCAGATGAACTTAAAAAAATATAAAAGTAATCTCAAAAAGTAATGCCATTGCGATGAGTCATTTTTAAGTCAGCAGAAAGCAGGTGAACGATTAAGAGTAAAAACATTTTCTTTTGATGTATGTCATGTGAGTATAGTATTGGTGAACATGATAAACAGTTCAAGAGACACAGAGCAACATTATCATTAATACGGCGGTTGTGTTCCAGCCCCTCCTGACGCCCTGCTATGAGCTTCATCTCTTATCTGTCCCTTTAATGGAGCCGCTAAATGTTCCAAAAAGTGTGTTAGTTATTTAAAAGCATTGTGTGTGTTTGTTGCGGGTATGTATGCAGCACGTCTCTTTAAACAAGCTTTCATTCAATTACTGAACTAATGAGCTAATGGCAGATCAAACTGAGAATAATGGAACTTCCACAAATCAAACACTGTCAGTAAAGCTGTACAAACATTATGGGCGTTGTTATAGAAAGTAGATCCCATATAGCTTTATGTACACTATGTAATGTGTCCCCACCTGAAGTCCGGCAGCACAGAAGATTAATTTGATGACCTGTCTGACTGACGAGCCTGAATGTCCCTCGTTCCTGGATCCAACTGACACGTCATCCAACAGACCTGACTTGGCCTCACTGCCAAACACACAGGACTTTATGACAGGGAAGCAAATCCCACTGCCTGGAAAGAAAATACAAATATTTAAAAAGTAATGAACTTGATCTGAGAGTTGGTCATGGAAGGACCAAAGCCTTTAACTGGCATGTGTTCCAAATGGTACGTCTCACATGCACAAACCTGTGTCTAGGTAATTGGTACGCTTGAAGTAGCTAATGAGGAAGTAGCCAGGGATGATGATGGTGGAGTATCCCAGGATGTTGACAAGGAAGCGAAAGAACCAGACGTCGTGCCAGCCTTCCAGTAGTGACGACTCGTCGGCAGCCGCTGTCGAAGGAAAGAGGAGCAACACAAGTGCGAGCCAAACCCTGCAATGCAAACAAATGATTAAAAGATCATCCTCCATCCGGCAGCGATATAATTAGGGCAAACAAGTGCATAGTGTGTCTAGTGATAAATACAATGCCAATATTCTAATGCAAACAGAAAAAAAATGGAAAGGTCCGCAAACTGTTCTGCCTCGAATTGGCAATTTTATTTTAAACATGGTTTCTATCTCCAAGATATTCCTTAGACGACGACCGAAACATGGCCCTGTATAAATAACATCGCCATTGGGGAGCTGAACAGTACAGACCTTTCTCTTTTTTCTTTTTCCTTTTTTGTCCTGCACCTGTATACATTTTGTGCTCACACTAGTTATTTTTGATATAATCTAATGCAAATCATACACTGTGCCCGTTGGAAACGACATGCGGGAAAGGAGCAGCAGGACAAATTTGAACACAAGGCCGCCCGTTCTCGAGGACTTAATCCTCAGTACATGGGGCGCGCTCTAACCACTAGGCAAGCGGCGCCCCAACCAACATTTATCTTTATCTAATTATTTAACCAGGAAGACTTCATTGAGATGTTCAAGCATACCTGGCCAAGTCAGACACATCGCAGTTAACGAAGTTTCTGTCAAACAACGAGCGGCTATACAAATATAACACAAGATGCATTACTCTGCTTTTTAGCCTGTTTCTTCGGCTGGGTTGTCACAAACTGAGTCAAAGCTACCCAAACCTAAACACATGGTTTATGCAGGCTACAGTAGAATTTAGGGAAGCATGAAGAACACATCACGCACAAAAACACAACCCGTCGAGAAATGAGAGGCGTATCATTGCCCAACATCCCAAAACCAACACTGATGACAAAAGCACAATTGTGGTGAAACCCTAGCTTCCAATTAAAAAGGTGTGCTGTCTTGCTGTCGTGGCACAGTGTGTATCCATTTCGAAGTGAGTTTGGGCGTTCTCCCAGGGGGCCTGACTCACATAGAGCCTCTTTGTGTGGGACTCCGGCCTTGGCCTGGTCTGCCACTGTAGCCCACTGCAGAGAGAGACCTGGGCTCTGAACAAGCAGTGTATTAAACGCAGGAATGCACTGCACAGGGCAAAGCAGGCAGCCCACACTGTGCTCTACACCAGGCACTGAGAGAAATAACCGTGCCTGAGGAGAGAACGCTTGTAGCTTGTCATGAAACTACACAGCATCTCCTGGGTTCTGAAGGGAAATTAGATGGCTAAGTCTCACATCAGAACTTGTTTACTGCTACTCTGTGGTGGAATATGTTATCAAACTCCATTTGATCTGCCCGGTCCCCCCCCCCCACTTAATAAAAAGCTGAAGACCCAGCTCTTTCATTAACACATAAGATGCTGCTGATGATAGTGATGACGATTAATGATGATATATAAAAATAAAAAAAAGTATTCCATACACTTTGGTCATTGCCTCTGTGCACTGACGTGTTTCCTCCCTTTCTAGATCCGAGTGTGTCTGGTATATACTCTCAGATTAACACAGTAAACACATCAGTGCCAAAGGAAAAAAAAAAACCCCAGACTGATGACAGATGTGAATTAATGTCAGCCACACTCCCACAGCTGATGGTGTCCTTATGCCTCATCATAATGACTATTTTTAAAGTATTACCAAAATCACAGACGCCCTCTAATTTTCTGTACTTATCTACAGTAATCTAAATGTGTTACTCTTTAGTTATGAAATATCACAAAGATTGCTTTGCAGCTATACGCCTTTTTTTTTTTTTTTTTTTTTTGACCCTTCAGGGACACCGTTTCTGTTTTTCAAGCCTGTGAAAACAAGGAAATCGATGCTTAGAATAGCAGCTACGAAAATATGAAAAACGCATTTAAGCAAGCTCAATCTTAGTTGAAAGATTATCCCTAAACCGCAAACAACAACAGACTGACAGTAACCTGTGTAACTGTACACACCTGTCTCCCAAGGTGACGTGTATGAGTCAGACTGTTTGAACACCTCTGTAACTTATCTTTAACATTCATGGATGTTGTTTTTGTTTTTTTTTCCTCTTGGTCTTAAACGTACCTCCATGAAAAAGATGTCATTTTCCCCACACTCAGTATCCCGACACACCTGGCGCAGCACACACGCCGACACACTCAAACGTCGTCGCTGTCACAGATCATAAGGACGCGCGCGCACCGAGCAGGCAGCGATGTTTTTATTTTTTACAAACAAAAGGGAGTGCCTCCTTCTTTTTTTTTGTACGAGCCGCCTTTAGCTTTGATATCTCCAACTTATCCTCAATGGCCGATGTGTTCACTTGAGCAGGAAAGGCCCCCCTCCCCTCCTCCTCATCCTCCGCTTCGCTCAGCAAGCACCAAAAGGATGTCGGAGACACAACAGCGCTAATCTGCCGCGCCTGCCCCCTGTCGGTGTGGAAGAGTAACAGCACCGCGTACACACACACACACACACAGACGATTCAAAGATCACAGGACGTGTCGTAGTACTTGCACGCTGTTAATTAGACATAATTTGTTGCAATTTTTTTTGATTATTTTATCTGTTCAATTATAGTATTTCTGACCTTACCTTGCTGCTTCAGATTTCTAAAATTACCAAAGCATGTAATAGATAGTTACAATTTTTGTATTTTTGTCTTCAGTTGTTGGCCAGCTCTCTGATCGCCTCCTCATTGAGTTGCATACCTGCAAAAAGAAAATTCTGACACAGTCGTCTAATTATGTTATATTCAACAATATTAAAGTAAGCTTATGATCTTTAATGAAGCACAGAACAGCCATATTTTTTTTTATAGTGCCGTTTCTCAAGCTCATGAGTGAGATATTTGATTATTCATTGAAAAAAAACAACCTTTGTTAACCAAGATTATTTTTTCAAACTGTTATTAGTAGTAATAATAGTCATAATAATGTTGTTTTAACAAAATGGTTGCCAACTTGTGATCCAGGCCCCCCCTAGGAGAGTTGCCAAAGATCTCAGAGGGGGTGCAACGCTTTGTCTGTTCTGATGCTGTACTTAACCTACAATCATAATATACTTACTGCATAGTTGATTCTGTATGGATTCATCAGTGAGAACTATTCTAATTGATGTAAAATGTATAAATCAATTTGTATGGGTTCTGGGTGGATCAGTTTTTCTTTATCAGATACAAGTAGGGTAGAACTTCTTGATAAGTAAAACTGGTTCCTCAACACATCTGTTTTTATCATAGCCTGTGGCAACACCAGAATGACCTGCACTTTGTATAACAAAAACAGCTTCATGCTATGGACTCGATGCGGAAGTAAGTCAAGTTTCACAACACCGTGTTCTGGTTTTTGTCCTTAAATGTCTTTTGTGAAAAGATGTTTTCCTCAGAAGTTCTGTCTGAACACATTACTAAGCCCAGAAGAAATATACACATTTGAGCGTCTCGCTAAAACACTGACGTGATCATATGATGTGAGGACTTTTTTCTTCCAGTGCATTATTCAATCCGTCTTGCTGCTGTTGGGTTGTGCTTATAAAAGAGAAACAGCTGAGTGGAATTTCCAGCCGCTACACAGTTATTGTTTTATTGGAGCCACCAGGAAGACGCCTTACAGAAAAAACAAAAGATGCACACAAACAGCTGACAGGAAACATAGAGAAGAACTCGTGCTTTGATGAAAGAGCCTTGTTTTTGACTGTAATTTATGATCGGCTGTCTATCCAGTAACTTCTGGCCACTCTTGCATATCTTATTTTTATGCATAATTAAAATGATTTCACTGATTTACCACGAAAAAGAGCACACAATGCAGCATGGTTATTTAATTCCTTTTTAATACAAAATAAACAACTTGCTTCTATTCACTAGAAAAGGCAGTGTAATGAAACACCAAAGAACAGTCAGATATGTCTGCAGATTAAGGAAAAGATTAGATAAATAGAGAATTCCTATTCATGACTTTAAGAAGCAAACAAACAGAAAAAGATCACAAAGATAAAGCTGCAATTATTGAGTTATATATTACATTCTGTTAAGGAAACTAATTTTATAAAACATTTATTTGTCAAAGATTGCAGGTCTCTTTGGGACACAGTAGGTTTGGTTACTAGTAAGTGGCGCTTCAATTTCCTTTTGCTATTGAGTCACTCTTAAAGAGTTTGTCTGTGGCTTCTATAAAAGGCCACCTCTTCAGGAGACATGAACATGTTACAATACAGATGCAAACATTTGCTGATGAAGTTTGAGAAACTGAAACAAAGCAATTTGAATGTTTAAAGGCCATTTGTAGCCATTAAAACAAGGTTAATGAAATGAAGAGGTAGAACTTTTCTTTATGGATCTTTAACATGTTGGTAGAAGATTTGGCACTCACATTGAGGTGGATTTTCTGCTACCCCTTCCTGAGGCAAGCAAAAACATCGACTTAAAAAAAAAAAAATCATAAACTATTTTTAACAGTGTTCAGTTGAGCAAACATTCTCTCATTGCCAGAGGACAGTAACAAATATATGGGGTGCATCTTTGACTAGATAAAATATAAAGACCATCAAATCAGAATGTACAACAAATAGAGGCACTATTCAAACTTCAGCCCTTTAAGCTTTTTTTTGTTTTTTGCGATCAAAAGTTCCATCTGTTGTGAGGCTCCAGACAATTTCGAGATTGTTTTTTCAGCCCATGAATCAGCTCAAAACTTCACACCGACCACTGACCTTCCAGAAATCTGGATGTCATCAAAAGGAAAGAGAGCCAGGATCTAAAAAGACAAGGACATAAAAGATCAAACTCCAAGTTTTAACACCAAGTTGTTGTAGTAAAAGTCATGGAAAGAAAAGGGACATGAAAAGCCAAAGATCAGAATAACAACTCAAATAGTAAAGCTTATTGTTTTAAAAGCAATTTTTGACAAGTTTTCTTTTGTCCATTAACATCCTCTGCACTGATGAGTTAGAACTACAGCTGTAAAAGGAGAGACTGCAAACTCGAGCTAATATAGTGTAGTTGTGAGGTAACGAGTAACACAATGCTGTGTTAAATGTTACAGTTAGTTAAAGAGGTTCATAAAGAGATGTCAAAACATATTATTTACATTACTCAAACTAATAGGTGTGAAACACTGCTAATGTAAATGATTTCGACATGAAGTGCTTTTATTCTGAAGTCAAAGGAAATGCAAAATGCAATGTTGTTGTTGCTAGCTTGATGTTATGAAGTGGAGACGACATGCAGAAGTCTGTGCAGCTTGTTCTTTTCTTTTGTAAACACTTTTTAAATACATCTGGATCTGCATTTGAAGCTTCCACTATACTACAGTAGTTGTCCAAGGCCACCAATTTGTTCAGCCTCGACAGGAAAAACATCAACAACTGCAGGAGTGCATTTTTTTTTTTTTACTAAAAAACGTATTTGAGGTAAGTTCTTAAACTAACAAACATTGTTTGAATCTTCATATAAACAAAATGGATCAAAGTATTTGTAAAAGAGCTGTAATATAGGGCAGACAAAATAAGCGTGGCCGTTGTTTATTGAGATAAAGGAACATGTGCTGAGACACAATGGACCTCTGCACTGCAGAATAATAATTTATCACTCATGTATGTTTGTCTTTGTCAGTAGTTTACATTGATTTGGCACCTTTATGTGTCATTTACAACAACTTACATCATCGTTGCCGTCAGCCAGATCTAGCGCCGTCTCATCCTCCATGTTCCGTAGCATTGTGTCAGCGCCAGACTGGCAGAGGAGGTCGGCGATGTCCGCGTCCTGTCTCCCAACGGCGAGATGTAGAGCCGTGCAGCCGTTAAACATTGCTACGTCCACGTTGGCTCCCCTGCTGAGCAGAAGCGTCACTGATTTCATGTCGTGCAGTTCAACAGCGAGATGAAGAGCAGTTTTGCCGCTGGTTCCTTCCTGTGAGGGGTGTAGATTGAAAACAGTATTGAGTAATTTCAGAGCAACACAATGGCCATGCAAAAGTTGATTTAATGTGAATTGTAACATTTTTCTCATGTATGCACATTTCTTTGATGTATCATTTTGCATTATACAAGCCTATAATACTAAAACAATTCAAATGGATGTGAGGCTAAGCTGTATGTTTGGTCGGTGATTTAAACTAAGAGGAATGTCTGGGGTAGTTTCGGGACTCGCTGCCATGATCTCTTCCATCATTAGAAAGTTAAGAGCGGCAGGCGAGGTCGGCCTAATCATATCTCATATCTAATTATGTCTCCCCGCAGAAAGCCCTGGGCTCGGCTCATATCACTATCAGTGTTGCACAGGTGCAGCAGATTTATAGTCAGGAACACAACATAAGGCCAGGCGCCATTAACAAAGTTTAAAAAGGAACAAGTGTGATAATAAATACGTTAACGTCACAGGATACTGAAGAGCAACCGGACTCAGAGAGAAATACATCTTGCTTACATCTAGAAAAGAACTGTGATGTTTTCCCATCCTTTAATCTTTAGTTTGGAAAACACATTGAAAAAGATGATGTTTGACGTGTAGCTCAAATCTTTTGATTGGCAGCTGGGAGTCAGGGTGATATGGCTGCAGGTAGAAATCTGGGAGATTTTAAAAATTACATAAGACTAAAAATCTTCTCCTTTTATCCCCTGAGATGACAGATCCAGTATACATTTTCTTTTTAAGTAGAATCTAAAAACTCACACTGAAGTGGAAAACTAAGGTTTCATTTCAGAGACTGACCTGTATGTTTAAATCTGCTCCCTTTTTCATCAGGAGATTCATTATGTGATGTTGTCTGTTCAGTGCAGCCAGGTGGAGACAGGCAAGACCTGCAAGGACACATCTTGTTTGTTTGTTTCATCAAAAACTGCATTGACTAAAAGTGTTTTTTCCAAATGACAAAATCAAACAAGGAAACAGATCAACAACAGATTGGTTTTGTGAACCCACCACATCTGTGCTACCTTTGCAAATGTAGACATTAGTAAACAAAGCTGTGGAACCAGAAAACAAAAACTTGATTCAACTGCTGAAACACGACACACAGATGATGTAGACATCCAGTTATGCTTCTAATCAACAAAGCATTGTTAGCTGGCGAGGCTGTACAGAAGTTAGTCTTTTGTCCTCACCTCTCCAGTTCTGGACTTCAAGGACCGGTGCCAATTTGCTCGAGGAAACCTCTCGGGTCATTTCAGTGACACACTCTGTCTGCCCGTGCTGGCAGGCCACATGGAGCGCCGTGTTCCCATCCTGGTCCTGTAGCTCCAGACTGGCCCCTTTCTCCAGCAGGCCCTTCACCACCTTGGTAAGGTTCAGGTATGTGGCCAGGTGCAGAGGGCTCTGAGGAACACCAAAGACAAAGATTTGTGATGCAATTAAATCATTATTTCCCTGGTTTAATCAAG